ACAGACTGTATATACACGCCATATAAGAGCACAAGCCATACCTACAAGTGGCAGATTATATATACACGTCATATGAGAGCACAAGCCATACCTACAAGTGGCAGACTGTATATACACGCCATATGAGAGTACAAGCCATACCTACAATTGGCAGACTGTATATACACGCCATATGAGAACTCAAGCCATACCTACAAGTCACAGACTGTATATACACGCCATATGAGAGCACAAGACATACCTACAAGTTACAGACTGTATATACACGCCTTATAAGAAGCCCAGTCATTCGAAGCGTGATAGAAATAATTTCAGGATACCGTTCACTCAGGTTGTAGATATCGCATATACGCCATACGAATACACATCTCCACTTTCAGGGCTAGATCAGGAAAAAAATATTAATTAACGTTTTCAGTTGTGTGTCTACCTACCATCCAGCTGGCTCGCGAAAGCATCGAAACGCTTTGAACACGCCCCGGGCAGTAGAAACTGCATGGTGCTGGAGTGGTTGTTGGTGGTGTAAGGTGCACACTCCTTCATGTAGCCTGTGGATGGTCGGGTTGATGAGAGTGTTGAGAAGACTATCAGGTCAGTGACGGGTGATAGAGGGTAAAACCGTAAAACCCTAAATGTATCATACCACGAGTGTAGCATATGCTATTCACCATCTATCAATGTATGTAGAAGATAGGCAGTTCATAAATCATACCACGAGTGTAGCATAAGCTATTCACCATCTATCAATGTATGTATGAGGTAGACAGTCCATGTAGCATACCACGAGTGTAGCATATGGTATTCACCATCTATCAATGTATGTATGAGGTAGACAGTCCATGTAGCATACCACGAGTGTAGCATATGGTATTCACCATCTATCAACGTATGTAGGAGATAGACAGTTCAAAAATCATACCACGAGTGTAGCATTTGATATTCACCATCCATCAATGTATGTAGAAGATAGACAGTCCATAAATCATGCCCGTGCCATCGGCATGTTCAGGGATGGTGTGAACGAGTATAGAACCATCCTTTCAATTTCACGTCCTCTTGCTATTGCGAGGGTGCGCATATACTCGCAAATAGAATCCAAAGCTATCATATATATGCACTACTACACATACACTACATAAAACAATAATACCTGATATCATATATTTATGAGAGTTTCTGATATCATTTATATGCACTTGTACATACACTACATATAACATTAATACCTGATATCATATATACATATACATATATCAGTTCCTGATATCATATACATACACTTTATACACGAGAAGAATACCTGATATCATTTATACGCTCTAATACACACAACAAACACGTCATATATAATAACAATATCTGATATCATATATATGCTCTAATACTCACAACAAACACGTCTTATATAACAACAATATCAGATATCATATATATGCTCTAATACACACAATATACATTTGATGCGATAACAATACCTTGCACGACTCATGAGATGAGATCCGCACGAGTGTAGAAGCATCTTTGCCCATGCGTATCTCTCAACATTACAAATGGGTGAGTGAGTGCACGCACAACAAGCCGTGGTACTAGTAACACGACCACATTAACAATAGTAAACCGATACGGAGTTTTAATATATATATATATAAACTACAAACACTCTACACACAAGGCATGTATACTATACTATACGCACAGAGTGACTGACTACCTTTCACCGCCTTCAAGACAAGCTCGGCCCGGGTGTGGCACCACCTGTCCACATTCACACCCTCTCCCCACTGCGAAGGGGTGTAGGCACTCACAAACAGCAGCGGCACGGTCAGGGAAGCCACATTGTGTTGGTACGCGTTCAACATCAGCTTACGCAGACCCGTGAGAATGGGTGACCGCTGGGTTGGGGACAGACCCCGTGGGACGAAGGCGGGTGTGGTGGTGAGTGAATGGGTGGTGTGTGTGGGGTGTAAAAGGACGGACTCGTAAGTAGTAGAGCCAGGCCCAATTAAAGGCCTATGCCGACTAAGCTATTTGTAGTACCGAACTGATTTCGATGGGATACTCGTGGTCCATCGCTTGATAGGCAGGCTCGATGGTGAACGAATAGGCAGTTGATGTATGATACAAAAAGGCTGACGCATAACTATAGTGCGATCGGATGGGAAGTGGAATCAGTGGTGTTTGCAGCTTCACAAGCTTTCCAGCAGGCTATCATGACAAGTCCACCAACTGCCAGTCGGTATTGGTTGTAGCATTTAAAGCGTTGTAGCGGTAATAAGGATTGGGCATCAAACGTTTTTCCGTATCAAAGAACTAGACGATAACAAGATAATACGACTACAACTATCGGTGTAGACTGTAGCAGAGACACCTAAAGTGCAGGGCATGAGATGCCCCTCTCATAAACAGCATGCCAAACTAAATGTGTTGGACATTTGGTTAAAAATATCCTGGATAATATATAGATGATATCATGTATTATTAGGTGTTATTAAAATATTGAATAATATCCATTTGTTAAGGATAATAATCGTTTGTTATGGATACGCCCAAGTGGCCCAAAAATATGCGCACCTCAGGACAGACTATAATACTCCATCAACACTCTACAGACAAGCGATCGATTCGTCATCCAACTCACTACACACATGGAATCAATTTCGCCACACATGCATTCCTGTATGCGTTTAGCGCGACTGTCAGGATAGGCAATCGACTAGTCAGCATACACTCTAAACACATACTCACATCATATGCTCAACCATCACCACTCAGAAACAGTGCTTTCCTGTAGCGTATTGAATCATCACACTCACACAGATGCACAACCGTTCATACAAGCAATACTCACCATACATACATAAGTGAGGTTGCCCATATAATACTCTCCATACATACATAAGTGAGGTTGCCCATATAGTACTCTCCATACATACAGAAGTGGGATTGCCCATGTAATATTCATCCTACATATAGATATTGAGTTGCCCAAGTAATACTCGCCATACATACAGCAGTGGGGTTGCCCAAGCAATATCCACCATACATACAGAAGTGAGATTGCCCATGTAATATTCTGCATGCATACAGAAGTGGGGTTGCCTATGTTATACTCACCATACATACAGAAGTGGAATTGCCCATGTAATATTCTGCATCCATACAGAAGTGGGGTTGCCCATGTGATATTCACCATACATATAGAAGTGGGGTTGCCCAAGCAATACTCTCACCATACATACAGAAATGGGATTGCCCATGTAATACTCACCATGCATACAGCGGTGGGGTTGCTCATGTAGTAATCACCATGCATACAGAAGTGTGGTTGCCCATGTAATACTCACCATGCATACAGCGGTGGGGTTGCTCATGTAATAATCACCATGCATACAGAAGTGTGGTTGCCCATGAAATAATCTACCATACATACAGAAGTGGGGTTGCCCATGTAATAATCCACCATACATACAGCAGTGGGGTTAAAAGTAGGGCTACCAATATGAGCCCTTCCGTCCCTCACATACCGCGCTCATAGTCTTCGACATCACTTCACTGTTGACCATCAAATGGTACACCACAGACACATTGTTCAGGTTGGAGTGGCGTGTGATGTAGAAATCGCCCGGCAGCATGGTACCGGAATGTTCGCGAACCTGTACGTCGACGAGAGGCACAGATAAGATCCAACTTGAGATACGAAATACACGGCACGCCTGGGGCGGTTTAGGGTCTGGTCGAAGGACTGGGTATGAACGTCTTTGATAGGTATAAACGTTATTAAAGGGATATAAACGTTCTTGATTGGCATAAACGTTATCGAATATCACTGCGGATGGGATGAACTTTTACTCCTTATTGGATGTTGATGTAGTTGTATAACGAAAAGGAAAAAGGCAATTCTCTCTCGCATTTGGTAACTTTTGCCGCGACAATACAATGCAGATGTTTCGAGCATAGCCTGTCGCATTGGATTCGGTAGCCTTGTAGCGTGATTCTACCAAGCAGACAAATTAATGCATACGACCCTTTAGACTCCTATATGTGATATAAAAGCTTCGTTTAAGTATATATATATATACATACATACCTATATAATTTATAATATATATAGATATATATATAGATATATAAATATATACGGATGACGCACTTCTCCAATGCGAAACAAACACAACACAAATGAGTGCTGATACGGCATTGAGGAGCACACCCACACCTGAGCCAATTGACGACGGAACGATGAGAAGTGCAGCTCAGTCCTGCGCTCGCACAGCTTAACAAAGGCTTGGCCCTCTGCGTCCTGCACGAGAACGGTCACAGTTAATACCACACCTGAAAACACTCAAATACGGGGCGCTCGCTTGTAGTGGAGTGGTATGAATATTGTGATGTACTATGGCGTAGGAATGCCTGGATCTGATATAATTATCTATATACACACAGTGTGATAAAGATCAAGGACCTGGTCCTCTAAACTGTGCACACGAATGGAACAAAGCCACTATTGCACCTAAAAATACACTTGTAAATGTACTTTGTTGTATGTGTACAGATTTGAAGTTGTAAACGCGTTGATTTGAGCTATCTTCTATACGCACAGGCTAAAAAATGTCCTGTCCTGTCGAAAGCCTACACCAGGACCGGTTGGACTGATTTTGTAATCTAAAGTACTCTTTCTAGCCTTCAAATCGTGAAGATATTTTCTGTTCAACGGTTGTACGGCTTTTAAGGGTAGACGGAGGAACTTGCCCTGAAATAGAATACAAAATCGATCGTAGACTGGTAGGACGACAACTTCCCGGCCCTTTCATGGCTGCAATAGGTGGCCAAACCAATCTCAAATGCAAAGACTCGATGCCAAAAACGCAATTGAACATGAATATACAATAACAAAGCAGCAAACGTAAACTTGTTCTATTTACGTGCTTTGAGTGACGCACGCTCTAATGTGCACAACCCGCTCAAGCATGAAGCCAATGCGATAAAAGGGTAGCCCGGCGGACATTCCATCCCCAGAAAATGGACAAAAATTTAGAAACAGCGATTTACTAAACCTCGCAAAACGTAACTTGACACCAGCTACCTTGACATAAACGTACTCGACACCAATGATTCTGATGTACACAGATCCAGACATCTGAACGTAGGCATATCTCAGTATTTGCTACGATGCGTTTGTGCAGCGTACCATGACACCATCGATATTCTCATATACATACAAACTTATCCCATCAGCAATAACGTGACAATAACGTATACGATAGTAACTCTGGCATGACTGTACTCCCCCTGAGCGTGCACCACTACTTACTTCTACTTGATCTTACCTTCACTTTTACCCAAGATTTTACCACCCTTATATACACATAAAACGTTATGAAACGGCGTGTACGGTAAAGTTATACACAACATCACACCGTCCACCTACTCGGTAGGGGGCGTCCACATCCACCAGCAGCACCACGCCGTTGAACGTATCGGAATAGAGCGACATGGCTGTCAGTAGTCTCAGCTCTGGCCCTTCGCGACTGAGCAGCACGTGCATGTCACAGCACAGCAACCGCAGAAGATGTGACGTTTTGCGCTGAGCCCCCAACTGGATGGAGAAGCTCTCCTGCTGCGTCTGTGGGGCGGGTGTGTTTGATTAGTCTTGCGTACGCTTGTAGGCGCAGTGGGTGTTACCTACACGTGCTATGTTAGGTTGTATTAGAAATATAACCTCTTTAAACTAGGCCTTATACATGAGCCCCCCCAACATTGACATTCTCTGATTTGCATACAGATACCTACGTTACACATACGTATGCCCTACCCACCTCATTCACATCTAGGACCGGTCCACTACCCGTACGCGACTTGCAACATCTCCGATCGCTTTCTGAGGTGGTCTTGAGATCCCCCTCCATATCAGACACTACAGCTGAGGTGTAGTCCCCCTTACCCACCCACTCACGCAGTTGTCTGCGTTGTGCATCCATCACACTCTCCAGCTTCGACTGCCAGCGTATCTGTGTGTATTTCAGGGGTGGAGGGATGGGTGGTAACCTGGGTTGAGCTTCAGAGAGATAGATAATTAGAGTGTACATCTAGTCATCTAGGGGATACATCTGTAATTATACATGGGATCGGTGCGGACCTGTTCACGTCCCGTATGTGCAGGAAACGGAGCGAGATTCACTCGGTACTGTGCAGATAGACTAGACAACGCGTGACAAAACATCATTCCACAGGTGGAAGTGGTGGGGACTACATAGCGGTGTGTGAAGGTTATATACGTTATATACGCCTGCTTACAACCGCTCTCATACTCCCTTGCAAAGGTTTGGAGAGTTTCACCCTTCGGACAGATAGCTTGAACATATCATATCTGTATGCGTAAACGTATAAAACATGCCTCGTGTTGCTGCAGTGTAGCATTGTTGAGCAGATCACCCAGGTACAAAACAAACACACGCACATAGACACTCTCACACACGTAAAGTAAACCGCATACGCACACGCACACCCACCCACTCACATTCACAGAGACAAAAGATACATACCTTCAACAGCTACCTCCTCCTTCGTACCCACACAACACGCCCACACCCATACAAACAAAATATACTCACCTCAACAAATGCGCCTCCTCCTACGCACACCCACAACACCCCCACAAACAAAATATACTCACTTCAACAACTGCGCCTCCTCCAACGCACACCCACAACACCCCACACTACACAAAACAAAATATCCTCACCTCAACAACTGCGCCTCCTCCTATGCACACCCACAACACCCGCACAAACAAAACATACTCACCTCAACAACTGCGCCTCCTCCTACGCACACCCACAACACCCGCACAAACAGAATACACTCACCCTCAACAGCTGCGCCTCCTTCTACGCACACCCAGAACATCCCACACCCGTACAAACAGAATACACTCACCCTCAACAGCTGCGCCTCATCCTTCTGCGACGCCTCCTGTTCCTGCAGAATGGCGTCGTTGAGCAAATCGCCCAGGTTAGTGTACAGCGCATCGCGTTCACTCTTGTGCACAGCCCTCTGCCGCACCATCTCCTTCTTGCGGCGCATGCGCAAGCGATGGATGACATTGTCGAAGTTCTCCTCCAGCTCAAGTAGCTTGGTGCCTGTACGGAGTCGGGTTGATGCAATAGCCGTGTACATGCAGTTAGGTATCTATCACTGAGGGCGTTTGTGTGAATTAGGTGAATTAGGCTCAGGTTTGAGGGTTTAGGTTAGGGTGTGGGACGCGATTTGCACACCACGTGCGAATTCTAAAGTCCAAAGGACCGATAGGCCGTGCTTTCGCAGTGTGCATTCGATACCAAAACTCTACGCCACGTGAGCACGCAACGACCCACACTTCCGTTCACGTTTGAACCGACACGGAACGGAAAGAAAAGAAAAGTATGCACGGTGACGGTGGGGTATAACCTTACGCGGAGACCTTCTGCAGCACAAACAGCTTACCCGAAGGAGAGTGCACCAGCGAGTGGTAGGTGGCTGGCCAATGTAAACTGTCGGTGCAATGCCCATCGTCTGGAGCCTCGGTTGTGGGTGCGTATACCACGCATGTGGTCCTGAACCGAGTTGCCAATGTCTTGGCCACAGCCGCGACGGGGGGTTTTGAAACTTGACAGGGGTCTTCTTGGGGCTTATCTAATGTTTGTTCCTCGTTATGAGCTACATTGATGTGGGGCGTATTTTGGTCCTGGCCGGGGGTTTTTAGAGGCCTATGCAAGGCCGCACTGCCGGCGGAGACGTTGGTGGGAACGAAGATGGGGATGGAAGAACGTGCTCCCACCTTCAACAGAGCAGCTGCGCACATTTCGTCCATTCTTCTCTGAGAAGCAAATAAACACTGTCAACACGCGCCCAATCATATTGCATTTCGAATACAGGTGGCCAGACGAGTCCGGCACAGACTTTCTACCAGCTCCGGGACAGAAGGGGTGAGTGGTACAACCAACACCCACGCCTCACGCGGCTTGGCATTGCACACAACACAACACAACACAACACAACGGGCACTCACAGAAAAGAAGAGAGCAGCACGCTGTGCAGCTAACACCCACCCAGCGCTTACATACACACGCACCTGTTTAGAGGAATCGTCGTCTTCCATACCCACACCGAGTACTGTGGCCGCGGCGTCGTCTGGCTTTAGGGCCTCCACAGTTGCGTTGTGCGGGGTCACCTGGTTGGCAATATTTTGGGCCACAGCTGCGGTTATACTTGTAGGTGATTTGCTATCCTCAGGTTCTTCTGAGGAATGCTGAGGTTGTAGTGCAAGCCGTGTTAGTTCCTCGGAACTACCTAGTGATTGCAGCTCAAGGGTCGTTGATGGGGTTAAGTCGCCTACTGCAGCTGTCTCATCCCTTGCCACTGCCTTGTCCACCACCATACTAGCTTCAACCAAGCACCCTTCTTCTTGTTCCTCCAACCATTCATCGGGTTTACCTACTACCCCATCCGCTTCAGGCACATGATCATACTCCACTTTCTCCGATACTTCTGGGACTTCCCTATCGCCAGTCCTCACTTCCAAATCACCGCTGTCAATGCGAGATACGTCCCCACTTGTACTGTCGTCGGATACAAGCCCCAACGCAGGTGCGATCGGATTCACTTCCGAGTACTCCTCTGTCGTACCGCGTGTCGTATTGTCGGATCTCGGTCCGATATCTACAAAGGGCGTCCAGCTATCTGGTTCCTCTGCTACAATACTTTCTTCAGCAGTGACAGAACACACATCACTACCAGCCGTCGGGCGTGATACTAGCACCGATTCTGCTGGTGCGGGGGCCGTTTTGTCCGCTACGAATTCAGGTACCGGGGCTACCGGGGAGGACCGCGGCGCCTCCAGGGTGTCCAATTGTTTAACCTCTCCCACCGCACTACCACACACATCCTCATGAGCTGAGCCAAATCTCACTCCGTCAGACTCTCCAGTCGCGTGCTCCATGCTCTCTGCGCCGGGCGTGGCTTCCGCAAAAGGTGTCCATACGTCCGGGTCGTCCGCAGAGATACTGTTCTCAGCAGAAACCACACACATACCTTTGTCAGCTGAGGCCCAGGCCTCGGACCCTCTCTCTGCCCTACCGGTCGCAGGATCGCTCATCACGGGATCGGGGTTCATATACGGCTGAGGTTCTACTTCATGCCCTTCAACACCGACACCAGACGCGAGTAAGACACTTCGCGATGTAATGCTAGCTCCAGCAGTGCTGTAACCTGTGTCACGCTCCGTAGTATCCTCGGTTAGAGGCCCTCGAGAGTCACTGCTGCTGCCATTATCACAGTGCATCTCATCTGTTACACATTGCCTTACGGAAGTGTTTGGGTTTGTAATTCCATGTGAAGGCAAGACCCCGACCGTACCCTCCGGTGCCGCACAATCCGGGGGTGTACCTACGTTATTTTTACCCAGGTTATCTATACCTACGCTGCCCACCCCGTGCTCTTCATCCTTGCTGACGACCTTCGTTGCACTGCCTTCGGTCAAGACTTCAGCATCTGTGTCTTTGGTAGTGGGACTACTATGTGCTGTAGTGTTGTCGCTACTTTTTACCAGGACATCCGTACCTGTGCTATCATGATTGGAAGTATACGGGAATGAACTACCATCCCTCTCTCTGATTTCTGTATCTCCGGCGTCAATGACATCCGTAATATGTCCAACCCCAATTAGAACCCTAGGACCTAGCACGGGAGTATCATCCAAAGCCTTGCTACATACAGAACTGCCGTCCTCTGGTAGTACCGCACTTCCACTGTCCTCCTTGGGATAACCGTTTGGCGAACTACAAGTTACTGAATCATGAGCCTGTCGGCAGTCTGGGAGACTACCATTCATCATATAGCCATCTATGCCGTCTGCCGAGTTTAGCTTCCCCACCACAGGACTACTATCCGGGGGCGTCACCATCTGATCTGGGTGGTTGTTGTCCAATACTAAAGCAGCATCCGTGAGACCGTCTGTACATCCACCGGCGTGCCCAGGCGACTCGTCCGTAGAGCCAATCCCTTCAAGTTGCGCTGCGCAGTTAGCCCTTGCGTATCTGGTGGCATAAGCCACGCCTATACCATCAGCAACGTCTGCAACATCAGAGGCCTCCAGTGGCAGGGCAGGCAAAGGAAGCGCCTGTGCTTGCACTATGTTTAATACTCCTGACTCGTCTCGCGCATGTGTATCCGTAAGCACATGCTCGTGTTCAACTAGCCCGTTCACAAGCATTCTCCCGGGTGCAGCGGAAACACAGCTATACAGCGACTGAGCCCCACCCTCTACTTCAACCGCACCACTTTGAGTGTCCTCCACCGTCGACTGGATACCACGCACAACATCAATACCTTGATCAGATATGCCTGAAGGAGAGGGGTGCGTGGCCATAAGGGTGTACGTACGCATGAGTTCTATCTCGTATTCCAACAGCATGACTTGTATCGTCACACTAAGGGCATTCTGTTCTCGTTTCGTTTGCGCCGCTCGAAGCCGGTCTAATTCCATCCTTTTTGCACCTGCATAAGGACGTGCTTGGTGTGAGCTATCAGTACTTGGGACAAAACCAGTCCCTTTTTCTTCGTTCGGGTCCGACATGAGGGACCGCAACACACGCAGCTCATGCATGTGTTTGCGTGCTACAGTCGCCAAGGCGTTCCCGTCAGCCTCAGTCGCTCCGTCTTGTGATTGGCTCGCATCGAGATTTATATCTGAAGGACAAGTATAAACAGGTCTCATTATGGGTACGTCTGTGCTAACACCCACTTCTGGGTCCTTTAACCAGTTCGGTATCTCCTTAGACATATCCGCATCAAGGTCGTTATCAGCGATGACTCTATGCTCACTGTGAGTACTGTCCGTGCTCTGCACCAATCTGGAAGCGTGTTTGACAGAAAGCATTTCTTTCTCAGGCAGGCCAGGTTCGCTCATTACCGTCTCATATGCATCCACACTGCCAGTATCATATATACACGGGATCCCCACTAACTCATTCGGACTATCATATAACCCTTCAATCGGCTTAGCGCTACACTCATCTGTCACCTCTCTGGGTGGGGTGCTATCGCTGCTTGATATCCTGCTTGTCGCTATGTCTTCTGAGTGAAGTTCTGTACTAGCAGTTGCTTCACCATTACCTACCACTAGTAGGTCTCCCGCACACACGTCTTCGCTACCCTGTTCACCAACTCTTGCGATGTGTTCCGCATCGAAGTCTACATCGTGTACTAGTGATGATGACGGGAGGACTGCTTCTGGAGTTTCATTATTGCCACAAACAACCACCTCCTGTTCAACAGAGTCCTTTGCACGTGCCATGTGCACGAATTCCGGATCCACCACATTAACACCAAGTGTCGATATATACTCTTCGCCCTCCGTTACGCGACAAGCGCCACCCGCACGGACCAGAGCCTGATCTAATACACTACCAGCAGGTGGCAAGGTACTTTCTTCGCCTTCCAATACGTGTCTAGAATTACCCGCATTGTCCAAAGTGTTATCCATAGCATTACCAGCAGGTGTCAAGATACGTTCTTCGTCTTCAAATACGAGCCCAGCGCTACTTTTCGTTTCAGAATAGGTCGGAGGTTGTTCAGTATTGACATCCCGCGAAGGTGTAACCACATCAGCAAAAGATGTGGCGTGATCCGTTATATGGCTGTGGTCTGCAGCGACTGGTAGCTGGCTCAGGGCAATTCCATTTAACTGCACAGAGTCATTCTCAGAAGCGTTATACGGACACACGCCGACTGTTGCACTTGTAGTGGTACCATGTACTTGGGTATGCGTGGGCTGCAAGGTGGGTTCTGGCACCCCAATACCTGTACTTCGAGTAGGCGTACTGGCTGGAGTGGCAATGCTCACTTCTGTGTCCCCAATGGTATCCATCTTCGTATGTGTAGTAGGGCGATCGCCACCGGTGGCTAATAACCTGACCACTTCTGAGGCTGGCAGCGTGTCTGCAAGTCTCTGCACTTGGTAGTTATCTGAAGGTGGGGCGGCATTATATACATACGACTGTCCTCCAGCCGCATGGTCCCTCTGGTGAAAGCTGTTCCAATTGTCTACCGCACCCAAGCGCGAAGCCTGCCCAGCCCCTGCTGTACTATCTCCAGCATACGGGCCTGAATCGGAGTTTTGGGAAGATAGGTGACTCGTACGATCCTCTGACACGCCCTGATGTGGCGCACGATGGTCGGTTGTATCCGGCCGCCTCCTGTCCAGTTCATAACCCTCGCTCATGTCCTTTGTTGGGTGTGTATATACCCAGCTCCCCGTAAGTCTTTGTAGAACCCCTCGTTAAGAACGACCCTTACCAGGAAGTCGGTTTGATATGATTCGTAAAAAAAAATCGTCATTAAATTCAGTCACAGAGCATAATTGGTGTTTCGACAAAGGTGGGGATAAAAGGTGGTTATACGGCAAAGGTGGGGATAAAAGGTGGTTATAAAACAAGGTGGGGATAAAAGGTGGTTATAAAACAAGGTGGGGATAAAAGGTGGTTATAGATTCAGGTGGGCGAAACGGTTGGTATAGTTATAGTGGGTATAAAAGGTGGGTATATTTATGGTTGGCTTAAGAGTTTTCAAGAAAATATGACTGAACGAACTATTTAAAACGTCCGTAGGACGATTTATGTATGTCCAAAAAAAAAGAGAAAAAACATTTAAAAATAAAATAAAAATAAAAATGGTTCTGCTATATGAAAATTTTCGATGACGACCGTCCGGCTAACCTCGAACCGTTTTCCGTTAAAACTTTTATAAATCGAATAGATATACGCTTCCGTTCAACTTTTATTTCATTTGCGGTCCTTTGTATGCTCCTAGGTAAATATTGAAGTGTGTACCATGTTCACGATACGAATCAGTCCTATATAAGAACTTTTAGGTAGACCCTTCTGATCACATTAAAACCGTTATAACGTTGTAAATTGAAAACGTATGCGTTTACGTTCAACTTCTTTCCCGTACCCCCATAACGTTATGAGCTTAGCCGTCCGGGCGTCCGTCAGCCTGTCAGGCGTCAGTTCGTCACTGTCACTAACTCACAGTCTCACAGATTCACTCTGTCACGCTGAACAACAAGTTTCTAATATTTTTACTTTGCAGTTTGTCTTTGCATATATTTAAAAATAATAAAAAAATATATGTTTACCACAGTCCTCAGGAGTCAGGACTCAGGAGACAGGAGTCAACTCATATATATACCGTAAGTATTTAGTTGATTGGAGTACACTCTGACTCTTTTACTTACGCAATAATGTTAATAAAGCACAGTATATTACGTCATAATATTTCATTTCAAGAAAGTACTATCCAATTAAGAAAAAATTACAACTTCACATTTCACAAGTCACAAGTCACAAGTCACAAGTCACAAGTCACACAATCTCACAACTCACAGTCAAAACACTGCAAGAAAAAAAATACATAGAACAAAACATACATATCTCAAAACACTGAAAAGGGAAAACGGAAGTCGAAATGGTTCTGTTTGGCATTTTTTATAAAACAAAATAAATTTAAGATTTGGAGTACTATAACTCATACAGTGAGTAAATCGAGTTTTACGAGTAGAAAGTTTTACCTCTTACGGTATTGGATAAAAAGGACCGAAATTGCGAGGGATAGAAAGATTTCAGACTATTATTTTCAGTACATACCATATTTATTGGATTATTGGATGCTCATTTCAGTGATTTCACCTATAAAAAAATCTAAATATAGGAGGTCTGAACAATAAAAGAGTTCATGTCATGGCCTCATGGAGTCATGGCTCACGGCCACATGGGATGTAATAAAAAGTCTCTTTTTGTAATCAGCTGCTGCTCAATACAATTTTGCCTATATGTTATAAACTTTATAAAAAATGTAAACGCAAAAAGTTTTGTATTTTTTTAAAGCGTTTTAAAGTATATCGGGGGCAAATCGACTGTGAAAAATTTCCAAATTCGCACCTGAGAAATTGACCTTTTTTAATGAAAAGGAGATTTGAAACTATTCACAACTAACACAAAGTGAAAAATAGGACAATTTGTGACAGTTAGGCTGCCTCAAAAAATGTACCTATTTGTAGACCAATAGAACTATATTTAGGGCGTAATGTGGTTAGATCAGCTGTATCATATTTTATTTGGAGTGGAGAAGATTCGGATTTCGGGGGCTTCGAATTTTGATAGAAAAAATTGGATCATGCAATCCAGGTCCTGGAGCGAGCCGTAAATGCCAATAAAAGCTCAAAAATGGACAATATTTGAGCGTGTCGTTGTAACTCCCTGAACCGATCAGTCCCGATGTGATGCCGAACCTCCGAAAATATTGGACTATTAGACGAAATTTAGCAAGTGCAGCGAATGGCACAGTATTTAATATTTATTTTTTCCATAAAACCAGGACAACTTGGGCCCTCAAATGAGTATATCTTGCCGACTCTGAATACAACCTATGTTTGGAGTATTAATATTTGGTTCGATTTTGATCTAAATCTCTCTCACAAATAATAAAAATCATATTCACTACACTCCTGTTTCCCTGACCCCGACGATCTTACGTGTGCACATAATATTCACACACATAATATACACACACGCAACCACTTGAATTTCACTTGCCTCTAATTATAAATACAACAGCATACAACATTGTAGCGAGCTACTCCACACTAGGGAATTGTTATGTAGGAAGAGGCATTAATAGTGTGACACGCACGAGATCAAAGACACCATGTCGAGTGAGTATGGATGGGCACTCAAGAGCTTGGACGGCGATCGCTTCAAGGAGAGAATCCTTCCAGGCGGCGAATATGACGGTGTTGACCTACAGAAATCGTCGATGAATGCTGAAGTCATTGCGAGGTGCTCGGGACCGAATTCTTGCCTGTAAGTTCTGAAATGAGATGCTTGGATTCGGATAATCTAGACATAAGGTTTCAAGGCATGCAGTTGGTACTATAGAAGGGTATGTTGATGTAATGAATTTTCAAAAATTAAGTTTGTACAGTGAAAATTGTATGCTCGGTCTTTTCACAGTGCCACAAATATGTGTGTTTCTACGAATTGAATTTGTGGTCCATACTGCTGCGTAACTAACCAATATTCAATCAAACTTGGCACACTGTTACTGAACAAATATCACGAATATGTGTATGCTCATATATATATATAACATCGTTGTTAGTGTCACTGCTGTGCGTGCTATTGTTACTAGGGATCAATGAACTTATCGACTTTAAATCAACATTCATTTAGATTATAGCTACACATAGCAGATCTGTAACGTGCAGATTATAAACTACTCAGCTTGCACTAGTTACTGCTGCAAATATCCATCACTATGCTGAGTGTATTCAGACACAACCCTGACAACTTATAGTCATATGTGCTATCTGATTTAATTACCACAAGAGAACTTACAGCGTTGTGGAGATCTCTTCCGTCGATTTGATAGAACAAGATGTATTCGTGTACTCGTTTTAAGACACTAGTCGACAATATTGTACAACAAGTCTTGTTATATTACGTGGTAATCTGACACTGATTTATATCTTTCTGCGATTACTGCAGTAAACAATTACGTAATTGAGGTATGAATTTCTTAGAATATACTTGAGTAGTAACTCACACGACACTGTATTGTACTTGTGCGTAATCGAAATGCACCTAATACATAAATACACACAACTTGCTGTATGCGACTTCCATATTGTGAACTCTGT